CTGAATAGACAATCCATCAAACCAGGAAGGATTTCCAACTGACACCCGAATCCGTTCGTTATCTCTTTCAGTCGGAACTCGTTGGCCAAAGACAGGAACTCGGGCCGGGAAGGGTGACGAGAGGTCGATCGAGTTCGTTTTCTGGCATAGTCCAGACTTTATGCAATTTACTTTCAAGAACTCTCCATGAAGAACATTCAGTGGTGCACCGGACAATTTCTGTTCATATCAAAATCTTAACACTTAAATGAAATCGTAAGAGGTTTTCTTTCTAAACATCAACAAGCAACAGGCAATAAGAGCGTTTTGATTCACTTTTTTATATTATAATGTTTTCAAAACAACTCGAGAGACGTTCAACAAATTTTAGCGTTGAATTATTCTCAAAGCACAATAGGAAAATGAAAAGGTTACACTTCTACAAAAGAATAAGAAAAATATAATATTTAATCCTTTTGCTTTTATTTAAATCCTTGTTTCTTTGGTGGTGTTTTTGTTCTTTTGTTCTAAAATATTATTACCCGCTACGATAATCCCACTCCATTGAGAGTGATTGCTTCATTTTGCATCTGAATATTGTTTGAAAACGAACTGTATTACGACAAGTCAATATCAATGGCTACCATTTATATGAATTAATCATCAAATCATCAAAAGATAAAGTTTAGCGAAATAATAGACAATTAATTTTCCCGAAGAGAAGAAGGTTCGAAACAAAATAGGGTAGATAATTCTGAAAGTGAATGCCGGCCGGTGTTCCTGCTATTCATCCCTAAGTAATTAAGAAAATACCAATGAAGGATCTGCAATGCAGTCGATCCTGACTTGCCATCTCGTCTTCCGTCACTTTCTACCGACGGCACGTGGATTCCCTCCGCCTTTCTGTACAAGTATTTTCATGGCAACTGATGTGATGAATGATCTACAGGAATTTAAGCGTGCTACTAGATTGGCATCAAGGTCCCACCCTTTTGTAATTGAAATAGTTAAATGTAACCACCATTTCTACACCAAAAGTATATTCTCTCGCACTTTCCGACTGCGGAACTCGCTTCAATTCACTTGTTTCCCTTTCAGAAATTTAAATGCAACGTCAATCGTCATCTATCTTCTTGAATCCCGTTCATCCTTTATCCTATTCTTAATCCCCTTATGCACAGTCTTTTCTCCCACTTTCACTCTCTGTAACCCCCTGCCTACTAGTGGTACTTCCGTCTTGCTCGGGGTGAAATGATTAAAAAAATAACTAGTCCCCACGACGAAATTATTAATATTAATAATAATAATTCTAAATATCCGTGCAAACTGAACGGTCTTCTTATTTGCATTTTCAGACGAATCGTAAGTTAATGATTGAATAATCGTCTTGCGAATATCCTGTTGCAAGGGTTCTACGTACGTGATAACTAAGGAACAATGGAACAAGAAGAATGATGATGATGATGATGATGAATATTATGATGATGATTACATTAATAATAATAGTAATAATAATAATAATAATAATTAATATTATTTCAGATAATTTTTATACTTTTATTCTGCGTTTATTTATTGTTTTCTATTATTATCATTTAAAATAATAATAATAATAATAATAATAATAATTATTATTATTATTATCATGATAATGATAATAATAATAATAATAATTACAATTCTTAAAATGGTACATTTCATAACGAAATGCTTATTCTGACACCCAGTATAAAATATATATGTGTTTTTATTCATATATATATATATATATATATATATATATATATATATATATATATATATATATATATATATTAGGGTAGATGAAACTCGTCAGCCTGGGAGTGTAGGGCATCTAAGAGAAGAATAACACTGCTCATTTTAAACATCTGCCTCCTTTCGACCATATCCAATCATGGGAAAAGCATCAAAAGTAAACCCTGAGAACAAATCCGTAGCCGGAGTCCCTAAGACAGCCATTTGTTCTGACAACTCCTGCGAGGCTGTCATTCCCATGTGGGCCTGTATACTCAGAACTGATGCTGCGACACCACCAGTATTTTGGCCGGAGATCCATGGTCTTTCGAGACCGACAGATTCCACATATTATATTGTTATACCGGAACATACCTATTCTATTATTAATAGACTCTCCCACATATAATAAGTAGTACTAGTAGCAGTCGCCAGTGAGCTCAGTGAGTTGGTGAGTCAGTCGATGTCGGACATTAAAGTATCAACCACCACAATTAGATTGCTGCGTTATTAACTATTATTTCAAGTTCCTAACGTTTTGTTTGCCGAACCTTTTTAGAACCGACTTAGTGAAATACAAGCCTCCACTGTGAAAACTACTCTATAACAATTTGGCGACGAAGGATTCGGATACATACGGGGGAAGAAAAAACCTTTTCGTATTCAACAACATATATACAGCTAACTAATTATATCTTAATAATAATAATACTAACAATAACGGGAATAATAATAAATTTATTGATAAAACTCCCGTTGCCTAGAAATATCGGGGCTATGCCCAGCGGGAAATAACCCTGCCTCATGGGCAGGACGAGGTCATTCGAGATGGTTAATGATAAAAGGCAAAAAATATAAATTTTAATGTTTACCTGCAAAGAAAAGTCATCCCAGATCGGAAGTCACCTTGATAAACAAGAGCTGTGTCCCTCCGAGAGGAACTGAGGTCGAAAAATCTGTCACTGGAATAAACTCTTACACGAGCAATGAGTCTCCTGGTCAGCAAAATATTGGACTGATATTGCGAAATCAATTAATAAATAAAAGAGAACGAAACTGAACCATAAAAAGTATAAAGAAGACATGGAATGTTTTGCCTCTGCACTCAAAAATCCACAAAAGAAAATCACGGATCAGACGTACCAAATATGGCGTGACTATGGTAGGAACTAAAATAAGACCCTATCTCGAGCCAAAATAGGCTTGCCAAGTGTCATCACGCGAAATAAAAGACTCTCAAGTACATAAACGCAAAAGATAAAACTAAATATGAGACAAAATACATACATAAACGAAGCATAAATTAGACAAGAGAAAAAATAAATAATATGATAGACGATGACATACAAACAAAAATAAATAAGGTACAAAATAATGATCTTCCAGGAAATAAAACGAAAGAATCTAGCTGAGACAGAATCAATTAAATTCTGTCACTGATGAACATGAATCAAAGGACATTAGGCCAGAATTGCTTGACATCAAAATAGGTGAAATCCCTGAAGCAAAAAAAAAAACCAAAAAAACAAACAAAAAAAAACATCAGTCAAATAATCAGCCAACTAAGTCACACACAGATTTTGATTATGCCATTATTTACTTTTCTAAGCACGCGTGGTATCGATTTTTGTTGTTGGTGCTGTTGAAAGTTTTCAAATGATTTGGTATTTGTTATCTGCTGAAGATATTTGTGATTGTGTAGCACCAGTCATGGGAAAAGCATCATAAGTAAACCCTGAGAACAAATCCGTAGCCGGAGTCCCTAAGACAGCCATATATTCTGACAACGCCTGCGAGGCTGTCAATCCCATGTGGGCCTGTATACTCAGAACTGATGCTGCGCCACCACCATTATTTAAAATAACGTCTTTATTTTATTGATGTGTTTGAATATAAATTTGGGCCGATTTAATTTAATTTATCAAACAGTGAATCAGATGCGGTAGTTCCCAAACCTTTTTTCTCTTAGACGCATTTTCCGATTGAAAATTTGCTCGCTTCTCACCACATTTTATTACATAAAATGTGCATTTTTAAATTAAAAAAAAACACCCAAAACAAAACATAGCCAGGGTTACACGGAGGTAACCACGTATAAGAAGTCAGAACATTATCATTGATAACTCTCTCCTCCAATTTGCAGACCCTAGTTACTATAGTCTTAATCTATAATTCTCAAAATGTGTGTGTATGTATGTGTGTGTGTGTGATCGGATGTTGCTTATGCATTTCCACACTTTTCATCCAATTTTAATGAAATCTTTTTTGTTTCATTCATAATTCTTTAGTGTCAGTTTTATGTCCAAATTGGTGGTGACAATGGCTCTCCACTACTTTCGGTCCATTATAAGTCTCAACAATTATTTTCTATTTGTTCTGGGATTTATATCTTTCATAAAAACTTTAATAAAAATAGTTTAAATTATTACAATAATATTATTTATTATTATACAGTTCCCTTTTAAGGTTCACCCCCGTTCAAATTGTTAACCCCCCCATTTTGGGGGATATACTTCAGTTGCAACCAAATGTTGTTTTATTTTCGGGTGGGAGGAATTTAAACTTAAACTGCTCCAACTGAACGGCAAAATTCCAAGTAATGAAAGACCCAGTCGAAGACGTGTTATACTGCTTGTAGTTGATATAATACAAAAAATATCACAAGGATAAAATCGGTCAATAATTATTATAACTATTTACGCTGGGATTCATGCATGCAATTACAAGTCATGCATAATAATACTTAAAATTTTGAAATTATATTTATTTTGGTATATGGATATTTGAAACTGTTTCTAAATGTTTGATTGTTTTTCAATCATTCTGCCTCACCTGCTATCTCTTTCCACTGCTGCGTTTGACAACCCCTGAATAGAGGACGATTTCGTGATAATTGGGCGCATTATTTATTTTGAAAACTTTTTTAATAACTAATTTAAAAAAAAAGCAGCTTTAGATAGATGATAGTTAAGCCATTTCTGAACAAGATGAACGCCATGTATGTCATTCATATGAAAGACTAGTGTCGAAAAGTCAGTTTAAGATCATGTCTCTGGTTATCAGTTTAATATTTTAATGTAGTGGTATCTTGTAGCAGAAAATTACTCCCAGCGTATACTACCTCGTATTCAATTACCCCCCGCCATAGCAAACATGTTATAATTGATCTGTACATTGACATATTTGAAATGTTTGTAATTTATTGAAATTTTCTACCACTTAAAATTTAATTACCGGTTCAGCGTTGCCTAACTTCGGTGATCTTACCGATCACCGAAGTTAAGCAACGCTGAGCCTGATCAGTACCTAGATGGGAGACCGTTTGGGAATACCACGTGCTGTAAACTTGGATGTATAGTGGAATAATACATAACGGCACGGAATTGTCAATCGAAGAGCCGAGTTCTAGTTCCATTTGGGTTCATCATATTCGCTTACGGTCAGATATCATTGGGAAAAGTTTGAATCCACCTCTTCTCCCCCAGCTATGGGTTAATCAAAAAAATTGTATCAGAAAATTATTATTATAACCCCCCCCCCCGGCCAAAAAACGTTCTTACAATGTAAAGATATTTCTGGCTTTAAATAACCTGCAAAGGGTTGATAAACCGTAGAAAAGAAATAGATAAATGAATTTATTTATATCTTATTGCGAATTTTTTATGATGGTTTCAGGGTAGGTGCCTGCTCTCATTTCAATTGTAAATCATTGGTTCTGTTTTGAGAAATGATTCTCAAATGTCCTATTTTTGGAAGATTTGGTAATGAATGTTGTTCAGAGCCATTCTTATTGCAGATATGAACATTTATGTCTGCAACATTGTCTTTTTAACTGAACTATGGAAAACAAGAGCACGGTTCACTGCTAGTAGATTAGTTTGGGATGTACTGTAAAATGTTTATATGGTAACTGCTCATTTCTTTACATATGTGCTTGTACACATGAAATGCTGATAGATTTCTTTCTTGTCATACCCTTGGTAAGGTTTGAACTGATTTAGTTTTGGCTTCATATACATTAGTGGATCGACACAGTTCCTTTATAAGATCAGGAAAGCCAATGGAGACATTGCTTGAAAGACGATTTCTAATAGATGAGAAGAGAAAACTTCTATAGATTTGATCATTTGCTGCTGTGGACACAACATAGCAGATGTAAAACCTTTTGATAAATACATTGATCCATTGAGTTGTTTGATGATATGTCTGCTATCACTGTAAGTCTTACCAGAGTGAAGACTAAAATGGATTCTTAGAAGGTGACTTTCTAAAATTGTGAAAGTCTAGTTACCAATATCTTCATAATATCTTCATAATAAAACCAACTGGGATACCTTTGTACCTGGGCGGATGTTCAGGAGTAACCTTTTGCTTACATACATACATACATACATACATACATACATACATACATACATACATACATACATACATACATACATACATACATACATACATACATACATACATACATACATACATACATACATAGGAACCTCGGCGTGGTGTAATGGTTAGCAAGCTTGGCTTGCTAGATCGGTTACTGCTGAAAAGTGAGTTCGATACTCACTAGACGCCCCATTCTTTCGGCCTTGCGCCACATCTAAGCTACGCTTGGATAATCTATCTCCCTCTCTCTCTATATGCATGTATGTATTCCCGGGGAGCTATGTAAAGTACCAGTTGGAGAACTGGCGCGGGGTAGCTACCCTTGATGAGGGTGAAAGAAGTCTCTCTGAGCTTTGGTTAGCAATCCTTTTAGTGTTGCTTTAACGGTAAAAAAAGACTTCAGATGGGAAGGAAAACTCATGATAGCTTAACCCGGTCATTATATTGCATGTGTCTGCCGAGAGGCGTGTACTCGTTGATATTGACTGTGATCCGGAGAGGTTAAACTCCGCGATAATAACACATGAGGACAGTCGTTCGGAGTCACCGTGTCAAGTCTTTTGCACCGTTACATTTTTATCGACAGATCCAAAATGTGTGGATGGTCCGACACAAGCCTTCACCATTTGAAACAAAATCATTGTGTTGGTTTTCTGACAACTACATCTAATTAGTTCCACACATATCCGGCTACTGCGAAAAATTCTACGACACAATATCAACTTTCCAGGACAACAACTCAGTGCCAGAAAGAAAAACAGCTCTTGTCGCATTGGAGGTAACGAAATACAACATTGATTTAGCTGCACTGAAAAGTAACCACCATTTGACTACATGGAACGAGAAAGCAAAATAAGACAGTTAACAGTGTTCCTGCTGCACTTGACTACAATACATTCTCCTGTACTGTTTGCGGTCTTTTGTGCAATTCTCGAGCCGGTCTCAAAAGTCATAGGCATACAGATAATTAGTTCGTGGTCGTCGGAACCTCATATATCGGACTCGATAGGAGGATACATCAAACACACACACACACACACACACACACATATATATATATATATATATATATATATATATATAAAAAACTTTAGACGCTTCAGATGCTTAATGCAGCGAATACAGTACACACACACACACACACACACACACACACACACACACACACATATATATATATATATATATATATATATAAATATAGCTTTTTATTTAATTAAACAGTATTTTAATATAATTTTTGATATTCAGGTCGGTAAATTTAATTAAACAAGTACTGTTTAATTAAGTAGACAGAGCATTTACTTGTATATGAGTATCCATCTAAAATAACGTTTGTATTTTATTGATGTGTTTGAATATAAATTTGGGCCGATTTAATTTAATTTCTTTTTCTTTTTTTTATGATTTATTATATATTTTTTATAAAATATCCCACATTGGATAATACATCTGTCAAGAAAGGTGAAATACTGTAAGAACATGGGCGTAAAGTTATTGTGGGTAATCTAGCGATTACAGCACTTTCTATACCTTTTCCACTTAGTAAATTTGCTATTTTAATCAAAGTAACAGGTTTAAATAAAAAATATCGTCAGACTCATTACCGTCAGGAATTTACTTTTGAATTCAGAGAGAGAGAATAAACTACTTTCAATATTTAATTTCAATGTCAAAGAAGACGTCATTATTTTAATTTTTTCTTTCTTTCTCGTCTTTATCTCCACTAGATTATTTCTTATTTTTTGTGTCTTAAGATTGAAGAAGTAAACTTTCAATATATTCTGGATTGATAAGATAAAAAACAAATAAGGAATGTGTATCAATCGAACATATTTCACTTTTATTCTCAGAGAATGAAATATGGAAAAAAAGAAGAAAGATATTCAGGTATTTTTACTTTTGTATTGTTTGACTTCCATTTTTCAATCATGTTTCGCGGGAATTCGTCTCCTTAAACCAACATTAGTATAATTTGTATCGTTCCGAAATCAAGGAGAGACAACATGTCCATCCAAAGTTTTAATAAATTAAGGGATCCAAGTCTACCTAAAAAACCCTAAATATTGTTATATGTATTAAGTAATTATTATTCGGAGTGTTATCCTCATTATCTTTGCCTTATTCATAACGTTTCAGCCCTTGTACGCTCCGACCTTCTTCAGATGATTGGAATTTCGAATCGACCCCTTTATTTTGTCCACTTGGTTAGATTGTTCTAGATCCTCGTACCGTACCTCTTCCGGATGACTTAGTTATTTTCATTCAGCTCAATTTTCCAATTCTTTTATTTCCCATTGCTGTAGATTGGTATTGAACTCACAACTCTTTGGTTCTACTCACTGGATCTAAACAACGTCTTTATCCACTGGACCATGTGTCCTCGATTACACGTGGCCCAGTAGATCCGGATATTTTTTTCATTTTCATGTTTTTCATTCTGTATGTAATCTTGCATTGTCATGAAGGAGAACAACATTTTTCCTATTGACGAGATCAGAGAGCTTTTCAACAAAACTGCATGGGCATGTTGCTGCTGCTGGATGTATAAATGCGCATTTACTGATTCATCACGCCTTAAAAATTCTAAATGAATAATACCTTGGCGATCCCACGAGACGATCAGCTTCTGGTTTTGCTTATGGAGATTTTATCTCTGCCAATTGCGTTTACCATTGCCGTATATTTGTGTACTTAAAATTTATTATTAACGACGACGTATGATTAGTTGATACAGCCATTATTACATTCAGTTCTCTAAAACTTATAATCCAAAATAAAAGATGGGTTACTAGAATTCCAGGATTTGATGTCAATATATGAATAACATATTCGAACATCAATCCAAAATTATCGGAACGGGTAATCTGAAATGCTGAGATCGATAAATCGTTATTTTATCCGGATTATGGCTGTTAATGCGAGGTTTCATAAGATCATAAAACCATGTACTTAGAATTGAAAAAATATTTTGGAATAACAAAAATTTAATAGAAGATCCCTGTTGTTTCATGATGAACTTGACCCTAATAAATGGTGGCTTGTGCCTCTTCTAGAAAGGGGGCATGGGTAAAGATCTTAGAATTTTCATATATTCAAGATGATATAAACAAGCACATAGTTATATTTCGTTTAGAAAAAATAACTTTAAACAGGAGTGAATTTTCTGGAAATATTCTTCTTTTTATATGCCAAGTTATTTCAGCACGTGGGTGAAAATAATTCACCACAACTTTCCGAATTTTGTTACCCAATGTAAATTTCCCCCTTTACCATCACTGCCTCACTTCTAACACACACAGAGACACATACAAACACACACATACACACGTATATATATGTGTGTGTGTGCGTATATATATATATATGTGAAAAGTGTGTGTATATATATATATATGTATATATATATATATATATAATTATTTATATATTATATGCGCGGCACTTATTATAAGGCGCTCAATATCAGAGATAGAGCTAACACATTTGGTTGGATTGACGTGATCGTCAGACAATTTCTCGCGAAATAAAATTTTACTATGGCTTTCAGATTTTTTTAATTAATATATATATATATATATATATATATATATATATATATATATATATATATATATATATATATAACAGTTATTCAATATTAAAATATTACTATTAGTAAACTTTTATTTTTTTTTTATTATTGTTGTTTATTAATATAACATGCAACTTATATTAAATCAATAATTTATTTGTAGAGTAGTTGAATATTTAAATTGCTAACAAACATTAAATTTCTTTCTGTGGAGTTTTTAAACGTTTAAATTACTCTCAAACGTTAAAATCTGTTTTTATCTAAATTGGTAAAGCTATACCACCCCTCTTCTTCCTCCGAAAACCGTACGTAAATCTCTTTTCACTTTATTTTCTCCTTTTTTTTTCTTTTCCCTTTTTTCTCTTTTTCCTTTCCCCATAT